CACCAGAGTTTAAAATTATCTAATTATTTTATAATTTAACAATCAGAATGTAAAAATATTAAGAACGGAGCAAACTCGACAAAACACTCAATAGAAATAGTACCAGATATAAGAGCTAGGAGATACAGATTGAAAATAACTGATTAAGTGAAGAATGGAAAAAAAATGTAGGGAACTGAAAACAATTTTAAAATATCAAGTGAGCCTTCGAATAACTAACATTAGGGAAAGTAGATTAGGCACACAAACAGAAAATTGGTAAACTTGAAGAGATGTAGGAAATAAAAATGATGGAGAATACAAAAAAGAGCATAAGATACACCTAGAACATGTAAAAAAAAAGCTTTAATATAAGCATATTTGAAGTCCCGGGAGAGGAGAGAGAGAATGGGGCAAAAGCAGCTGATTGGCTGAGAGGGACCCAATCGGACAGGGCAGGGCTGCTCCTGGGGTTTCTGAGTCTGTAAGGAGTGACAAGAGTGGAAGGCCGCAGCGCTCTCTCTCTCTCTTGAAGGGGCTGATGGATTCAAATTGCTGACCTTGTAGTCAGCAGCGTAAAGTGGAACCCACGCTGCCCTCATCGAGGAAACAGTGGCTGAGCCTTTTCCATAACGGATCGAGGTATCAAACCTCAGACACCACAGCCAAAGCATGACAAACCAAGACAAAGAGAAGACCCCCAGTGTAGCCCGGACACATGGCGTTCACCTGCAATGATGCAACTTAACAGGCGGACAGCTGACTGTGCCATAGAAACCCTGCCGCGAGGAGGGAAACAGTGGAGTCTTCAAAACACTGAAAGAAAAGGTTCCATTCTAGGATATTTACCCATCTGATAGCCAAAAATTCAAAGAAAATATAACACAGAGAATCTGTTATCAGCTGATCGGCATCAACCAAAGTTAGATCTTCCCGTCGAGCTGGAGGAAAGATGGCGTAGGAAGGGTGAAGAGCCGTGGAAAATCGGTGAACAAGTCTACATTCTGACTGTGTAGAGCAATAAGTATTGCCTTGTGGTTTTACAATGATGGAAGAATTAAAATATAAATATGCAAGACAATAGCAGAGACGATAAGAGGAAGGTTAATGGATTTTAAATGTCTTAAAGTCCTTGTTGTACTGTTCCGGAAGTGATACAGCTCAGCTATATTAGACTTTAATAGGTCAAATATGTGCATTTAATCTCTAGGATAAACAGTGAAAGAATCACAAAATATTGTGTAGCAACCTGCTAGAGGAGGAAATAAACTCATTTTTAAAACGTCACCCAAAAGACTAGAAAGGAAAGGGACCCTAGGGCGGTGGAGCAAACAGAAAAGAAGTGGTAAGACGGTGCATTCGTGGGGCCACGGTTCGTTTTATATGGTTTTTCTAGCCATAGTCTGTCGCTGCAACTCCTACCAATTATGTGGGACTATGCAAACTGGCTCTATTTCTTCTCTTCTCTTCTGATGGGTCTGGGGAAGAGCGAGGGAAGATTTTGATAGGACTGTATGGTTTTGTGAGTCACTGTTAACAGCATTAACTGTGATTGTAAAAATCTTGCTTGGAACTGGAATGGGGGATTGGCCGAGTCTGTTTTCTTACTGGGTATAAAAGGAGTCATCTGGGTGGGGGTGAGGGTGGGGGGCCGAGGCAGGCATCATACTACCACCAAGAACGAAGAGCTAAGAGTGGTGTGCATCCTTTTGAACTTGAGAGGTGTGCACATTGTCCAAGGTTGTGAGGCCAGAGGAGTGGCAGGTGAGCCGTGGTACCAGCACCAGGGACTGACAGCGGTGGGCTCTCTAGCCTATGGAGCACGTAAAGTTGAGGGTCTTTGGGCAGGTGGTTTGCTTGTGGAGTGCACTGCCTCCAGGCACTTAATTGGGGGACTAGGTTGGCAGATCCACAAAGCAAGGGGCTAGTACCTTCAGGCCGAGGCTGACGGTGAGTGCCTTTTGAGCATTTGTCAGCGGCATAAAAGGAGCTTTGCAGCCCGTGTCGGAGCAGGGTCGAGGCCGAGAGGCCACATGGCTAAGAGGTGCTTCTGACTGGAAGAGCTGTATTGTGAGCATTTTTGAATCTACCTTACACCCTGTAAACTACTTCCTTAACGAACCCCGTGTTTTCAATCACTACCTGCGTTTGTGAATGCCGGACAGTGACTATAGAAGACCGGAGATAAAGCGACACCTGAATTACGGTGCAGGTGAAGAATATTAAATATACCATGACCTGCCAGAAGAAATAGCAAGCCTGTCTGGGAAGAAATACAGCCAAATGCTTCGAAGAAGCAAGGGTGTGAGACTTTGTCTCATATCCTTATGACAGGTCCCTCAAGAAGGGTGTGAGGCTGGTCAGCAAGTAGGTCAGCAAAGAGAAACATCGAAGCTGGATTGGCACCGTGGCTGCAACAATGGGCTCAAGCCCGGGCGTACTTGATGGTGAGGCCCTTGCAGGACTGGGCGATGCTTCATTCTGTTGTACACGGGGCTGTTAGGAGTCAGGGCCACCTTGTTGGCACCTAACAATAAAACAACATGAGTGGCTCTGAAGACTCACTTCATTTACAGTATCGACTCTGTGTGTGCCTGACCCACAGCCAACAGGCAGCAGCTGAGTACTTCTTTTGCAATCTCTCCGGTAGTCTGTCCTTTCCCTGGCCAGGTCCCACCTCTCACACCTGGGTCCTACAGAGGGCGGGGTCCCAGGGGGACAGGAAGAACACCCTCTACGCTGCCCAAGTCCTACTCCAAGTCTTGGCACCTCTCAGCTCTGCACTGGGGATAATCTCAGCTCGATACGGGGAGGAAAAAGTGAAATAGTCCATAGTTCCCTCCTCTTCCCACTTACTCCTCCCCACCAATTCCCAACAAAGCCTCCTGAACACCTGCTTTCGTCATCTTTCTCTCCCACTGAAGAATTCAAATAGATCTCATTCTGCTTTCCGACACTCAGGATCAGTGGAGGTGGCTGGGCTACAGGTTGATAAGGATCCCAAGGTTCCCTCCAGGCTCAGTGATCGTCTAGTGATGACCGCCACAGGCCCTGCAGGGGACTGTGCAAAGCACTGGCCCTGGGTGGCACAAACAGTTTACACTCAACTACTAATCTAAAGGTTGGTGGGTCAAACCCACCCAGCAGCTCTGTGGGAGAAAGGTCTGATGATCTGCTTGTGGCCAGATCACAGCCAAGAAAATGTATGGAGCAGTTCTAGTCCATAACACATGGGGTCGCTATGAGTCGGGATTGACTTGGCGCAATGGAAATGGGTTTGGTCTGTTGGGTTTTCTTCTGAAAACAGCACTAAGCACTTCGTCCAGGCACTCAAGAATTCCATCACCTGGATGGGGTTACCCAAACTGATTGTAATTGCTGTCAACAAGCCGTACACCCGTAAGAAGTTGAATGGGCAAAAGTTCAGTGATAGATATATTTACAAAAACAACAATAACATAAAGAGTGGTTGCTGAGGGTACTTATGTATAGCCAAACATCTAACGGAATTTGGTTTCTTGGTTTGAAGGTTTATGGTTCCATGTTTCATGGGCCATCCCAGTCAATTGGTCTAATAACGTGTCTGGTGGTTGGGGTAGTTAGATGATTTTATGTCAACTGGAAGACATTGGAAAATGTAGGGGTGGAATCCAACCTGTCAATCAGGTAGGTCACAGCCTGATGATGACGCCTCTTTGGCCGTGTGGCCTTCTTATATGGAGGTCCTTGGGAACCCCCCTCTCTTTCTGCCCCTTTGCCTTCCTGCTTGCTGGGATTCTGCCACTGACTGCAAGAGCTGCCAGAGCCCTCCCCTGTTTCCATTGATGGTAGATCTGTAAGACTGCACTCACCAGCCTGCGGGCATTCCTCAGCTCTGCATCATTGCCCATGACTATGGGAGACTGAAGAGGGGCTTACGGACTAGTATCGGACTGATGGACATGAGTTGGACTGGTTGGGATGCCTTCTTTATATATGATTATTTTTGATATAGAACTCTACCTTACATGCAGATGAGTGTCATTGGATTTGTTTCTCTGGACAGTCTGGCCTAACACCGTGCTTCTGTTTTACCACCTCGTTCACGGCACAGTGCTCGGAGTTTTAAAAGGTTGCAAGCAGGCAGGCACGGCACAATAAGCAGTCTCCATTCCCGTGGAACAGAAGGAGATTCAGGGATCGGAAGAGGATATGGATGGTCTGGCTATTGCCTTTTTGCCATGAAACTGGAGGAAGTGGATGTTGCTCAGCTACCGTTTTCGAGCATTTTGATCACCGAATCTACAGAAGAATCCTGATCAATAGGAAGAACATGTGGAACAAAGTTTCAAAATCTCATCGACTCCAAATTTCCTGGAGCCATGAAGATTGGATGAACCCTTGAGACTATTGCCCTGAGATCGTCTTTAATTCTAAATCCAAAACAACCCTTCAAGTCTTACAATCAAACAATAGTTCAGCATCAATAGTTAAAAAAAAATTCTCCTTTGAGTATTATGTTACTTTAACAACAATCTGTAAGGGGTCAACTGAGAACAGGAAGTTGAGAGATTGGTAATGGATTGATGTGCAGGACAGGACAAGGAACAACTCAGCAAGGAGAGTGGGAGTATTTACACAACTGGAAGAAGGTAATCCGTGTCACTGAATGGTTCATGGGTGAACGGTAGACTTGGTGTCTGTTGTGTTAACTGTATTCTCAATAACAACATAAAATAATTTCTTGAAAATTTAAAAAGAATTCCATCACCTGACCCTCCACTCTACCTGCTCCAACTTTGCTTGAAGCAGCACCCCATCCCTGGTAGGGTTATCACCTGTGCACTGCTCTCTTAAGATCAGTCCCACCTCTAGGCTTTACCTGAGCTTCGAGCGGCCCTCTCCTTCCTTGTTCCTGCTCCATGCCAACTCCCACAGGACACAGAGCCAGCAATGCTCACCACACTGAATGCTATCGTATCAGAGAACCACATGCCCCGCGTCCTGCCCACCCCCACCCGAGTCCTTTATCGACCCTCTACCTTTGATAGGCCACAAAATAAGTCACGTTCTGGGGGTTGCCAGGCCCTGGCAGCCACTTCAGGTACACATCGAAGTTCTGGGAGACCAGCGTCACGTTCTGGGGAGCGGCCAGGTGGGGCCTCCCTGTGGGGCAGAGAGAGGTCAACAGGTGAGGAGCTGCCCACAGGGTTTGACAGGGGTCACTCGCAGCACTGGTGGGCAGTCCGGAGCCAGGAGTAGCTGGGGTGGAGGAGGGCATGGGGTTGAGAGGGAGCCCTGGCGTGACTGTCTGCATCTGTACGGGTGGGGGGCTGCAGGGAGTTAGGGCTCCGAGGCACACCACAGACTCTCTAACTCACAGCAACCCCCTGGGTCTGGCCAGAGCTGCTTTGGTGGGTTTCTGAGACCGTAAATCTTTATGGAGTAGAAACCCTCATCTTTCTCCTGCGGAGGGAGTCACTGGTGAGTTCGAACTGCTGACCTTTTGAGTAGCAGCCCTTCTCTAACCACGATGCCACCAGGGCGCCTACGTCACAGAACAGGAACCATCAAAGGAAATAGGAGCCCTCCCAGCCTGCAGGAGGGGAACAGCCTGAGGGTCCCAAGGAGCAGGGGCTCACCTTGTTCACAGCCATGTCCCCATAGTCTGCAGGGGTACCCAGATATATTCCATGGGTGAATGAATGAGTACTGCGATAACTTGCATTACATCCCAAAGCCTTTTAACGTGTCTCTCTGCTTCCAACCTTGGCCCCTCGGCCCATTCACCACACAGCAACAGAGATAAAATGAAAGTGCCTGAAACGTTCCAATGGTCTTCATCTGACTCAAGGCAAAAGCCAAACTCCTTACCACTTCCTACGAGGCGCTGCCCAATCCCACCTTTTGCTCACCCTCGTGTTCCCCCCTCTTTAGTCCCTCTGGCCCTTTCCAGAGCAGCCAGAGAGAGGCACTCCCACCTCAGGGCCTTTGCACATGCTGTTTCCTCTGCCTAATCTGCTCCCCCCTGGATATCCACTGGGACCACCCCTTTGCTTCTTCCTCATCTCTACTCATGCCCCTGCCTCAGTGGCACCTTCCCTGACCCTTCACTCACCCCTACTTCCCTTCCAGGAACCCCACCTCATTCCAACCTCACCATCTGCAATGTGCATCTGCTGGTAAAATATCCCAGCCTCAAGCTCCGCCCTGGCCCTCAGAATCCAGTCTATGTTCTTCCAGTGAGATGCCTGGCCTAGTCCCACCATCTCACTGACCTCTCCCAGACGGCTCCCCTACAGGCCAACAGCCTGCAGCCCGTCTTCCTCCTTGCTGGTCCCAGGCTACTACATTCTGGTAGGTCTCTATAAGCCCAGCTATCTCTGACTGCCTAGCATGCACAGTCTCTAATCCAAGACTTGGAACTGGCTCCATCACGGCTGCTGAAGCAAAATCAGAACAGTCCTCAATTTTGAACATTTGGAGGGATCAGCATGATAGCTGGAATGGGAAGGCTGGCAGGTGGAAGAAGCTGTGGGGTGGGAGATTCAGGAGGGGCACAGGGAAGCCACTCGGGAGCTGAGGTGGGAGGACAGCTGGAGAGTGAAACACAGTCCAATGACGTGGTCAGCCACCATCTTTGAGCCAGGCGCCTTTTGTTTCCAAATCAAGAGATCTGGCTGCTGTGCAAAACCCCACTGCCTTTATTTTCTAAGAGGGAAATGAAATTTCTAGCCAGGTGTTAATCTGTAATCTTTTCTGTTCCAGGTACCATTCCAGTTCACCTACACTTTGATGGGTTTGGATCAGTTCTGTTCTGATTTTGCTTCAGGGGCCATGCCTAGGAAGAACCAGTTCGGAGCCCTGGTGTACCTGATCAAATGTCACATTGCCCAGGAAATCTTCCCTGACATCTCTAGACATGATAAGGATGCTGATGATAACATAATAACAGCTAACATGTGCTGTGCCCTTACTAAGTACCAAGCTCAGTCCCTTCCCTACAGTTTCTCATTCAATCTTCCCATGCTCCTTGGAGGTGAAAATCGACCCCCAAACTCACTGCCATCAAGTCCCTGTTGACTCATAGTGACCCTATCCGGCAGAGTAAAACTGCCCTGGGGTGGGGGGTGGAGGGTGAGTTCCAAGATTAACTCTTTTTTTTTTTTAAATCATTTTATCGAGGGCTCGTACAACTCTTATCACAAGCCGTACATACATCCATTGTGTCCAACACATTTGTACATTTGCTGCCATCATCATTCTCAAAACATTTTCCCTCTAGTTGAGCCCTTGTATCAGCTCTTCACTTTTTCCCCTCCCCCTCAACCCTGGATAATTTGTAAATTATTATTACTGTCATATCTTACACTGTCTGACATCTCCTTTCACCCACTTTTTTGTTGTCCATCCCCCACGGAGGAGGTTATATATAGATCCTTGTGAACAGTTCCCCCTTTCTACCCGACCTTCCCTCCACCCTCCCAGTATCACCACTCTCACCACTGGTCCTGAGGTGTTCACCTGTCCTGGATTCCCTGTGTTTCCAGTTCCTATCTGTACCAGTGTACATCCTCTGGTCTAGCCAGATTTGTAAGGTAGAATTGGGATCATGATAGTGGGTGGGGAGGAAGCATTTAGGAACTAGAGGAAAGTTGTATGTTTCATCATTGCTACACTGCACCCTGACTGGCTCATCTCCTCCATGCGACCCTTTCTTAAGGGGATGTCCATTTGCCTACAGATGGGCTTTGGGTCCCCACTCCACACTCTCCCTCATTCACAATGATAATGACTTTTTTGTTCTTTGATGCATGATACCTGATCCCATCGACACCTGGTGATCACACAGGCTGGAGTGCTTCTTCCATGTGGGCTTTGTTGCTTCTGAGCTTGATGGCCCCTTGTTTATCTTCAAGCCTTTAAGACCCTGGATGCTATATCTTTTGATAGCCAGGCACCATCAGCTTTCTTCATGACATTTGCTTATGCATCTGCTTTGTCTTCAGCAATCATGTCAGGAAAGTGAGCATCGTGGAATGCCAGTTTATAGAACAAAGTGTCTTGCACTGAGGGAGTACTTGAGTGGAGGTGCCATGTCCACCTGCTACCTTAATACTAAACCTATAAATATATGTACATAGTCTATTTCCTCATCATCACATATAAATATATTTACATATGTACATGCCTGTATTTAGACCTCTGTAAATGCCCTTTGCCTCCTAGTTCTCTCCTCTATTTCCTTTGACTTTCCTCTTGTCCCACTATCATGCTCAGCCTTCATTTGGGTTTCAGTAATACCTCAAGGTTACATTACCCTTGATCAAGCCCTACCAGGCCTCTTTCACCCTCCTCGCAACCAATTTTGGATCACTTGTTGTTCTCTTGTCCCTTGGTTTGTTAACACCCACTTCCTTTCCCTTGCCTACCCCTCTCCTATGTTCCCCGAGAACCATCGGTCCCATTGTTTTCTCCTCCAGATTGTTTATCCTGCCTATTTTATTTAGATAGACATGCAGAGATAATAATATGCACAAAAACAAGACAGAGCAAAACAATGCAACAAAAGAAAACAAAACAACAGCAAATCATGACCAAAAAAAAAAGAAAAGCCTGTAAATAGTTCAAGGTCTGTTTGTTGACCTTTAGGAGTCTGATGGGTGCCACGCCTGGCTCCAAAGTCTATTTTTGGTATTCCCTCAGGACTTCCTTGCTCTGCTCCCCTTGCTGTTCTGTTGCACACCCTTAATGTTCGGCCTCAGTGTGGTGGGGTCAGATTGGGCACCATTCCCACACTGTGCCAAGACTAACTCCTTATGGGACCAGAAAGCCTGTCTTTCTCCTGAGGAGTAGCTGGTGGTTTCAAACTGCTGAACTTAGGGTGCCCAGTCCAATATATAATCACTACACCACCAGGACTCCTTACTTAAGAGGAAGCAGGCCCTGAGTAAGCTGTAGAAGCACACCCAGGCCTATCCAACTCCCATGGTGTGTTTCACTTCATTCTCTTTGCTGGGGGCTGGGGCTCTGTAGAGGAACCTGATGCCTCTCTTCAGAAGCTCCTGGTCTCCTGGCAAATTCAACACCTGCAGCATCATGGGGGCTAGGACTGAAATTTTTACAGGTGACAGAAGGGCATCAGGGAAGGGGCAGTGGGGGGAGATTTTACTGAGAGGCTCTTAGCTCAGCTCTTAAGATTGGCCTGCCCACCTTTGACCTTTTAGATCCAAACACAGACCGTTGCTGCTATGAGTCCTGTGTCCCACAGCTGGAAATGGACCACCTGGGTGCCGAAGCTATCCTGGCAAGTGGGCTTCTGGGCTCTAAGGAGGCAAGAGTCTGCTCACTTGTCATTTATAAGGCACTAGGTGGGCAGGCAAGGCCCAAAGTTTGCCCTGAGTCACACCTAAGAAGGAGCAACTGGAGGAGCCATGCCCTGTCCAGCCTTCACCAGGTGTCAGGTGCCAGCTGGGCACCTTATACACAAAACGTCATCACTCCCCAGAGCCAACCTGCCTTGGGGTTTGGTGTCACCTCCATTCAATGGGTGAGGCAGGCAACTCGGAGGCAGAGATGAAAGCAATTGCCTGGGTCTACACAGGTAGTTTGTGAGGAAATCAGGTCGGGACTCAGGATCTGGCTGTACGTTGACCTTCAGCATGACTCCACAGTTCGAGCTGTGCACCTGAGGTAGTCCTCAGAGGAAGTGCAGCCAGATCCAGAGAGGAAAGCCAGTGAGGGGGGCGGGGGACAATGAAACAGGGGCATCCCTCCAACCTCCCACCCCAGCTGCTCACCCCACCCTCACTCAGGCTGGAAACACACAGCTGTGGAGGTGTGAAGGGCTAGGCCATCCACCCTACTGACCCGGGTGGATGATCAGTCCTTGCTGCAGCTGCCTCCCCCCAGGCCAAGCCAGCCATGCTCCCTCCAGCTGCAGCCTCTGTACTGCGGCTCTCACTCCCCTCACCCCTCCCGCAACTACCTTAATTGCTCTGAGCCTCAGTTTCCCTGTCCCCAAAGGGGTGGTGGTGGAGTAATTTCTACCCTGTAGGGCTGCTGTCAAGCTTAAATAGGATATAATATTGTGCCCAGAAGGCAGAAGCTTCACAATAAACATTGGCTTTTAGTATTATTAGCTTGTGGGCCCTTCTGGGTCTTCAGTTGTGTCTAGGTGGAAAAAAAAGTGCCCTGAATGTACTCAAGAACCAATCTCACTGCCATTGAGTCGCTCCCAACTCAGAGACCCCACCGGGCAGGGGGGACCTGCTCCTGCGTGTTCTGGGACAGTCACTCTTTATGGGAGTAGAAAGGCTTCGCTTTCTCCAGAAGAGTGGCTGGCTGGCGGTTTCAAACTGCTGACCTTGAGGTTGGCAGCCCAGCTTGTAACTACTGGGCTCCTCGTGGCACCGTGGTTCTGAACTGATCGCTAGCCTAAAGGGTAGGGTTCTCTCAGGGAGAAAGCTGTGGCCGATCTGCTTGTCCTGTAGAGTCCCAATACATTAGAATGACCTCACAGCAATGGGTTTAGACCCGAAAGACAGCCTGGGGCAATCTGGGGGCCAATCTCGGGGAAGGGGGGCGTGGTTTGTACCCTGAGGGGCCACTTAATTTTCCCCGTGGAGGGGAGGTAGATGGCTTATAAGGACCCAGC